GGTTCTTATCATTCAGTTTTTTGCATCTATCATAATATCTTACCATAACTATGCCAAAACCATACCATACCATAACCATACCACAACATATCATATAATCATATCATATAATCATATCATACCATAACTAACCATAACCAAATCATACCATACGATAACCATATAATTCCAAAATTATATCACACCATACCATACCATGACCAAATCATACCATACGATAACCATATCATACCATAATTATATCACACCATACCATACCATAACGAATTTATACCATAATTATATCATACCATACTAATAATTTAATTGGATATTTTATTGTAACATGTGAAGGTATTAACAGAGCTGTGTACGTACAACATTTTTATTGGTCAAGATGAACAGGTAAGAACCTGCTTGACTTTATTTTCAGCGGTTGTCTGTTCTCGTTTAAACGTTGTTGTATATTTCGTCTAGTTTTGTCTGATGCGTACTTTGGAGATTGGTTTGGTTGCTCATTCCGCGACGTTATGCGTATCCTGTCTCACCATATGTATGTTAGAAATGCCTTGCCAGTTATGGCAAGGTAAGGCTACTTAAGATAGTCTGGAATTTGAGACTTTTTTATGTCCATTAGCACTTTGTAAAGAATGAAGTTGATTTAAGTAATTGCAGCGTTTTATAAGTATATTGCTTTGGAGATATTTGAAATCGTGCCTTGATAATGCACTCAGTGAATTTACAGAAATGTACTTCAACAAACTCCAGCCTAAATGTAACGTCTCTTGTTATGCGAGATACTCCTTCACAAATACAAAATTTTTTAGCAATAATTTCTAAATTTTCGTTCCTTAGACTGCTCCCAACATATCTGGAAAAGTTTACTAAACTTTCGCCAACGCCTCAAGTTGTCATACCACTGTTAGAATTGCTTCCTGGTATGTTTCTTAAAGTTTCGTAAATTAAGAAATCTTTTGCGAAATATCAATGTACCCCCTAAAGAGAGGATTCTGATTGAGCAATTCTGCCGCTAACCATAGTTGATCGCCTTTTTGTACAATCAGCTGTGTTAAAAATCTCGTATTTCTGTTTACCAGATGATGGAGATTTGGATAAATAGAAATCGCATACATAAAAGGTATATGTATAGCTTTCGTTGCCAGTCATGATATTAGGATTGAAACCGCACATCAAAATGGGCCTCTTGTAAATATAATCAATAAAAATATACCTGGAACGTGTAGTAGGTGAAGCCACGAATAGAAATTGAGGAATACTAAAATGGTGGCTAGGAATATTTTTGTATACCTCTTCTCAGCTGTACGCAGTTCAGCGGACAGCTAGTGATTTGCATCGGTTATCAAGCCAATCAGATTACGGCTAGTTCATTTATAATACCCAGCCTCCTCTTTTTGACGTGATTTGCTAGCCTGATTTCGTATTATAATTGGGTCAATTTTGTTTATTTTCCAGACTTGGTCTTGAAGCTAGAGGAAGAATTGCATACTGTAACATCTTCATCGTCCAAATAATTACACATCCCGGCAGGTGCAGTATACAATTTATTTGAAAACATTGTTGAAACAAGCATTATATGACTGCAGCCTCGTTAGAAATGCCTTAACTTTTGCAGTCTTTTGTCTTTTTGTCACCCAGTTACATTTTCGAACTTCTGGTCAAAGTACGAAATCACTCGAGAAAGTGATTTCATTGTCCGTTGCAAGTGAGTTTATGAAGTGGTTTCCGAGCTTGTTTCAACATTTCATTTGTTAAATTTGATGTGCAAAGGATTTTAGGCGATTATTGAGTTGGAGCAAGCTCTGGATGATCAATATGCCAGTATTGCAGCAAAATATTGTTAAAACTGGGAAATGAAATGCATACATTATTTAAGCAAATCTTCTTCAATGTAGATCAAATTGGTGGTGCAATACAAAGACAGTTCGCGGACGCCTTGAAAGTATGTTACAGTAGTCTTTGACATGATAGAAGACTTAGTGGTAGAAATTTGGGGAAAGGGCTCGTATGTTGATATTTTTTGACGTTTATTGCTGTAATAGCTTTCTTGTAACTCCCCTTATCTACATGTTTTCAAGCAGTCGTTAACCTGGTTTCCTTTGTGTCGTAATTGTTGTAAACAATCATTTTCGTAAACAATCATTTTCACGGATAAAATCTAGTCCAATCTTTCCACATTATAGCATCCCAGGTAGTTTTTCAGAACGGCGATGCATTAGGGTCGAGCGAAAAGAAAGATGTGCAACAAGCTGGCACATTTACGGTGCAATCATCTCAACCTGTGTGTATTAAAAGTAAATCTGCATGGCAGGTAGTTAATGAAAAATAAGACAATTCATGTATTGCTGTAGCTAAATTAAGTTTCTTGTTTTTTAGGTTCATGTTCAACAGCCAGCGAATGACGGTTGGAAGAGGAAGCAACTGGATGTTTGGTCAACCAGCAAAGCAGCTGGTGGCGTCAAAGGTGATCAATTACGTCCACCATAGCATTAAGCTACAAGATGATCTTTTGTATAGTCATTTTTTAATAACGGTGATTGATTTAGGAAACCTATAACGGCTCTTCATTACTTTTTGACGCTGTTAAGAAGTTCTACTGTATAATTCTACAACAAATCTGAGGAATTACAAACCGATTTCATATTCTAATTGGGAAACTCGTATTTTAGGCTATTCTCTGCTAGTTGGGCTATTCCCTATAGTTATGCTGATCGGATTCATATCTTTACAATTACGTGTGGCTCCAGGAAATCTGATCAGAACTTTTCATGCTACAGCGATATACCAGTGGAAATTCAAAACCTACATGTCATCAAGAAACATCAGATGTTTGTTGGAATCCTCAAAAGTTCTAAACTCTTCGTACAAAAACAGGTAGAAATTTTTTTAATATATATTTTGAAAGGAGAGTCTCTAACCCCTCATCGTTTCTGGATTACTACTACTTTTAAGCGGTGTACATGCAATAATACCACTACACTATCAGTGGCAATTCTAAGGGCGTCCCCTTTTCCACAGGAACAACGTGAACTACTTGACAAAAATGGGGATTGCAATAGGTAAGTTAAAAAAATTAAATCGTAGGAAAATGTCTAGTTTCATGTTAACCTTAATATTAAAATTTGCCCAGGCTCGTCCAGATGAATTGTTCGTCTCTTGTATAAATACAGCTAATGTATTTTTATACAGATTAATCTTACTGGACCTTTGATGGTGCTTCCTTAGGTCGAAATTCTAAATCTTTAGGGTTTTGTGTGTTGTAAAACTGATTATAGGAACGATTTTCATATCCTAGTCCGTTACGTTAATTCACAATGATATCTTTTGTTTTGTAAGAGTTTTGGTCTATGGAACCGACTTGAGACACAAAAAACTATTTTTGTTGGCCACGACGAAAAAAAACGAATTTACAGAGGTTAGTTCTATTGCCATCCAGCAAAATCTTAAGACTAGACTTTAACAAATGAATATATAGTTAAACAGTTCATCTGTACGTTTTTACGAGGACGAAAAACGGATCATTTTGATCAGGAGGTTATGTTCAACTAAATAACTCGCAATGACAAGCTGATTGAGGTTTGTCAAAGGATTATGGTCTGTTTTAGGCAATGGAAGGATTTTATGAAAACGTTCGCAACCCATGCAGAGAACAAGCGTGCTGTTTCTTTCTTTCGTTTGCCAAAGAAAGTATGGTGTCTACTGTATTTTTTCGACGTATTATACCAAAGTCTTTAAACACATACATTTAAGACGGCTTGTCAAGTTTAAAACCTTGTATAGTAATAAGCTTGTTGGCGAATCTGCTGAAAACCTGTCAGATTTGGTGGAAATAGGTAATAATTTCATGTCCAGTGTCCGCGAATATAATCCTTGATTCAAATCTTTTAGTATAAGCAATTACAGGGTTAGGGTGAGGTTTAGAATTAAAAGTTAGGAATAATTTCGTGCATCCTGGACATGAAACAAGTTATGGACATGAAACTTGATCGAAACTACAAGTTCAAACACATCCTGATAACAGACCGTCCAAAAAAATGATACGAGCCTCGGATGTTTTACAAGAAACTCCTGTGTTTCTCACGTTTAGGTCAGAAAAACCGGGAAACGAAGATTTAACTGTTGAAATTGACATTTCTATTGATTTTTGTTTGAGACCGAAATATGTGTGCCAGGATCAGGTGACCAGCTGTGCATTCACCCCCAGGTTCTTGAACAAGAAACACACACGGCCAAGGCAAGTGTAAATGACTTCATTGACCGTTGGTAAATAGGCTTGTAGCTCAATTCTACATACCATGTACCCATTTTCTTACACGGTCGATACACTGAATAATTTACTATCTACTGTATAGGTGCACAGGTTGTATAACCTCCCTCGCGATATTTTGCCCTTAAAATAAGGTAGTAATCCCCACAGTTCATAAAAGTTCTCTTGACTATTTTCAGAGGCATTTGTGCCATACAAAGGTGTTATCATGCAAAGACGTGTCATTAATATAATTTGCTGCAACAAGGTACTACCACTAAGAGATGTTTATATTGGGCTATTCGGCCATTGCCATTGGCGTATACAGTATCGTCAGATATTGTTTGGTATTCACTATATTAAATATACACACTACATTTAGGCTCAACTCAACATATATATGCATGAGCGATATACTTATGCTGATCGGATTCATATATTTACAATTACGTGTAACTGCAGGAAGTTTAATCGGAACTTATTTCATCCTACAGCGATATACCAGTGGAACTTCAAAATGCACATGTCATCAAGAAACATCAGATGTTTGTTTGAATCCTCAAAACAGTACCCGACTCCGCAGTTTAAATTCTTCGTACGAAAACAAGTAGAAATTTTGTAATATATTTTGAAAGGAGAGTCTCTAACCCCTCTTCTTTTCTGGATTACTACTATTTTTAAGCGGTGTACATGCTTAATACCACTACACTATCATTGGCAATTCTAAGGGCGTCCCCTTTTCCACAGGAACACGTGAACTACTTGACAAGCCTGGGTATTGCAATGGGTAAGTTACAGAAAAATAAATCGGAGAAAAATGTCTGGTTTCATATTATCTTTTTATTATAAAATTATTAATATCTTGAAGTTAATTCTTAAAGAAAATTGTACTACGAGGATGGTTGCTTTCGGATTTTGCGGGAAAATTTAGATAGTTCGATCCTGCGATTTCATGAGTCAAATTTCACCAGTGTAATATAGTACAAATCAACATAGAAATTCGTATCGTCAATATCGTCAATTGAAGAAACAATAGGGTGAAATGTCAGTATTTTCAAACAGCTTTTGGAAATCAACAGGCAAAAAAACACGTGCTTTATATGTAACAAGACGCCTACTAGCGTTATATGATCGCGTCGTTCACAGCGGCGTAGCCAGCCCAGCTATGCAAATTTTGTGTCTAAATGTTCTTAATAATAAAAATGAACAATATACCGAACTATAGTCGCATGTTGAAAGCAGGAGAAACACAAAACAGCCCATTTCGAAACTGCTTGAAATCCTTTAGTGCAGGCTTACTCTGCTCGGCGTGTGCAGTTAGTTGTATGTGTAATGAGTGTAAAGATAACACTTGCTAGCATTTTGATCGCTTTATTGATTCTACTTTACTGCTTCGAAGTTCGAAGGTGAAACGAAATATGCCCAAAGTGAATACAACACGTGATATATAAAGCAACTTACCTGTGCGCAGGTTCCCGATTAGGGTGATATGGCCCGCAGCTAGCGACGCTGGGGGTTGACCCGAGAGGAAAATAAAAAACAAAAACCAAGCCGAAACTATAGATCGCTGTCGCTACGCGACGCGATCAATAATATAGTGCCTTTATCTATTTCACTTTCCAATCTGACACTGGGATAGTCCGGATGTTTTGCAAAATAAAAGCAGCCTTCTTTCTTCATGTGCAGGTCCCTCTGTTCTCCAATGTACGTCACTTCCGGTGAAAAAGCCACGAAAAAAAGCCAACTTTGAGGCCAAAATGAACGAATGCGTCATCGAAGAAAGAATGCGTCAACAGCGCGCCATAATTAAGCGCTCGACCGCATCTGAAGCTTTACCTCCAAAGGTCGCAGAGAGTGTAACAAACGAAAACTGCTCACCGAGAAACATTCTGCGAAATGGTGCAACATTGCTAAAGAAGCAAGAGATCTTAGGTCTCGCCTACAGAAACAAACATATTACGCAGGTATATGAATTTACTATGCTATAATTGCAACTATTTCAGCATATATAAATACTGATCCAGATTGGTACTGATGGTTGAATAGCTGATATTGGTTGAGCAGGTAATGATACTGTTTAGCAGATAAGGTTTTTGAACAATCTGGTGGGAGGTTTCAGTGTGCAATTATGGGCAAAATCCATGCAATTATATATGGCATATGTTCACCACTTGGCGTAGCCAAGATTTAACTTCACAGTTGTGAAGTTAAAATACTTTTTAAGGGTCATAAGTAGCTTTCTTGTTTTTCAAAGCTTTTTTACGACAGTTGAAAAATTAGGTCACTATCCAGTGGATAACTTTATCCATGCACCTTTTGAACAACTGGCCCCAAGGCTGTAAACAGGATTTTTGCCAGGGGCGCACTGTGTGTGTTGAGGAACAGGTGCCCCCATATAAGGCTTATGTCATCACTGATATAGTGCAAAATTACATGATTTCTTCCAACAATATATATAATACAGGTGCTCTATAATAGTGCTATTAGTTTTTATAAAGCTTTTGTAGATTTCAATGAATGTAGGTGACAAATGAAGAAATCCTATATTAGATGTCAACCATATTATAGTCCAAAAGGGTTGCTGGGGCAAACAAACGTCATGATCTGCTGCCAGCATTGTTTTATTTTTTTATTTGCGCTGATGCAAACGCCGTTCAGCAGCCTTCAAGAGTTTTACTAAACAGATTATTGCAATGGACATTTCTATAGGCATATCGTCGATGCCATTCTCTAAATTTTAAAATTCACAATGAAACATGTTGATAACCACATATTAACTCTAAGGGCCTAACTCTAAGGGCCTAACTTCACGGGCGCCTGTTCTCGGCGAAATGCGAAATATTTTGCCTGTTTCTTTTGAATTTCGATCGCTTGAATCAATTAATTATGCATCATTGCTCACAATTCAAAAGAAGCAGGAGAAATATTTCGCATTTTGCTTGAAAATTTAGCCCGTGGAATTAAGGCTTAAGACAAAAAATTTATGCATACAATTTCAAAAATTACTTACCCTTTCATGATATTAAGCGAACACAAATACATTTACACTACATTTTTAACATAAATTATTTCCCATTGCTGGAAGCCATCTTGTTCCAGTCGCGTATTCCAGTTCGAGTTGATAAACATAAAACAAATGATTCGCGCGGCTTTTGCTCTACAATGAAGATTACAAGAACATCATTTTCACACAATTGAAAATATGATTGTATATAAATCACAGAGGGTCTATACTGTATAGTACAGTATGTATTTTGTGATATCTATAACACAAAAATATACAGAAAAAAATACAGGTTGTTTTCTTTCATATACACATAATACCCTGGTAAGAAAGCTCCATTTTAATGAGATTTATCGAACTAGGATATGTGCGAATTTGTCATTTGTTTATAATATTCAACAACAATTTCAAAGATTTACTTGCCTTTTAAATTCTGATTTTCCTGTTGGACGGGATAGTGAAGCGAAGAACATTTGATGAGAATATTCGAAGTGTATACAGCAAACAACAGCTGAACATCACGTGTTTTATGTAGAACGAAGTTTGGCTGTGAATAGCCAGTTATAAATCTTCAATCTCTTTACACCTAGGTTGAAAGAAAGCTCCATTTTAATATGATTTATCGGATTAGGATATCATGGCCGTAAAACGCCATATTGCCACTGGGTTTAAATTTACTATATTTGCGAATTTGTCAGTTTATCATATTCTACAACAGTTCCAAGATTTACTTGCTTTTTAATTCCCATTTTCCTTTTTCGACGCGATAGTAAAGCGAAGAAATACGATCATACTGTCATACATTTAATGAGAATATTCGAAGTGTATAGAGCAAACAACAGCTGAAATCATGTGTTTTATGTAGAACGAAGTTTGGCTTTGAATAGCCATTTATAAATCTTCAATCCCGTTTACACCTAGGTTGAAAGAAAGCTCCATTTTAATAAGATTTATCGAACTAGGATATACATGGCGTGCAAATGCCATATTGCCACTGGATTTAGATTTACTATATTTGCGAATTTGTCAGTTTATATTATTCTACAACAATTTCAAAGATTTACTTGCCTTTTAAATTCTGATTTTCCTGTTGGACGGGATAGTGAAGCGAAGAAATACGATCAAGTGTATAAAGCAAACAACAGCTGAACATCACGTGTTTTATGTAGAACGAAGTTTGGCTGTGAATAGCCATTTATAAATCTTCAATCCCCTTTACATCTACGTTGAAAGAAAGCTCCATTTTAATAAGATTTATGGAAACTAGGATATCATGGCCGTAAAACGCCATATTGCCACTGGATTTAAATTTACTATATTTGCAAATTTGTCAGTTTATCTTATTCTACAACAGTTCCAAAGATTTACTTGCCTTTTCAATTCCGATTTTCCTTTTGGACGGGATAGTTGACCCATTGAAGAGAGATGTAAGAGTATTATTTAATTTTGACTTATCCGCCGTTTAAGCTATAAATGGCCTTGATACAACCGGGCCGGGACTATAAGTAAATGTGTGGAGCTGTATTATAATTATAAATCCAGACTGTCTTAGAGCGTTTTGAGATCGTTTAGATTGTTGTACGAGAGTTGTTTCATGAAATTGTTGTAAATTGAAAATAGAAGTAAAACCAGCGTGTGCAGGTAATTTACTGAAGGAAGCTTGCCAAGAATTTAGTGAAAATATTGACAAACTTTAAGCAGTTTTCATTATTGGCTGAATACCAACTGTATATTTACGGTCTACACAAAGGTCTCGGAGATGTCAATTTCAAAACAAAAAGTCAATTTCGTTTAACTATGTACTTACAGCACGGTTTTTACCCTGGGTGACACATTGGACGAGACGAGGCAGCTCGTCGTGAAGAGAAGCGTGGCGTCATAGAATTTCACGTCGTTGGGAACTGGCTGCGAGGACAGCTCTCTCAAAAGAATATTATGTGGTTGATTGGCTTAACAAAAAGTATTTTCATATCAACTAACGCAAATGCCGAAAGAATATATCACGAGATTGGTTTTGATCAGTAAGTGAACCAGTAAATTTTAGCTGCAAACTATTGGCACGGTCAAAATGGATGCGCTGTGCTTTAAATTGCTGTGCATCAAATTGGACGCAGGCACCAATTTTAGCTGTCCCGTGCTAATAAATTGACTACATCATTCTATAAAGAGCTTCTTGCTACTTTAGATGTTTTGGTTGTTGAATGTATGCAAATATCATCGTAGATAAATTGTACTGATAATTTGCTCACTTTAACTTAATCTAATGATCTGCCATCTGAGCCACTTTGTTTAGCAACAAAAGAACGAGACATTTTTACGGCACCCATGTATAAAAACTATCGCACAAGGTAAATTTCATTCAGTCTCGAACAACGGGTTTTCACTTGTGTTAAACATTACAGACATTAAAATAATCTCCGGTTTTCTTAAACACCGTTAAAAAATTGAAATCTGGATTACCATCACGCATTCATAAATGGAAAAAATGTGATTAGCTAGTATTTTTGTCAAATTGGCTTCTAATATCCGCTTGCATTAAAATATGTTTGCTAATTTGCATGCTAGCCCGGACAAATAATTATGATCTTATTAACTCTCCTTTTTTCGGCGTTCTGTGAATATAAATTGTTTTTAAATGCAAGCGTAAATTGAATATACTAACCAAAGCCAAAGCGTAAATTGAATATGTTAACACATTGAGTTTTATTAACACACACTCGATCTTTTTTATTTTAAAATTTCGTCCAGTTTCGGTCACCATTCATATTGGTAGGCATGATATCTCTTGAAGAATGATTCGATTGGATTTTATAACTTATTGTATTAATTATATATAATAAATGTAATATTACACTAACTCCGGTAAACTCGAACCCCGGTAACTCGAACAATTTTCCTTTCCCTTAGGGAGTTCGAGTTAGCGAGGAACTATTGTATTTTAAAAGCGCACTCGAACTTGTTGAGTGGGAGTCATAACATTTCAATGGCGGTATTTCCACTCGAATAAGAGCTTAATTTTCAGTGTTTTTCGTTAAATCTTTGTATCGATTAAGAAATAACTTTCTCTTTAATCGGTGATGACAAAATTTGTATGTCACACTCAATGAGTGTGAGTGTAACACAGCCTACAGGCGAGAGTGTGGATACGGAAGAATTACTGATAATCGTTTGATATTTATCTGTTTTGAGAGCGTAATGTCCGAAATTTTTGTATTCGGTGTTTATAGACAGAAATTTGAGTTTCTGCAGAGATCGTTTATGAAAGTATGGGTTAATGTTTGTCGCAGATAAACTACCCGAGGTAGAAATATTAGCAACATCTAGTCAAGAATTGTGTGACAGGCAGGAGATGATTTTCTGCAGTTGTCAGCATTAAAATTGGATCTTGCCAGTCACGGAAAACCTTTGCACTCTAAAAAAAGATGTGTTTTCAAACACACCAAGGTGTGTTTTCAAACACATAAAGGTGTGTTGTGAAACACACTTTTTTGAAAAAAGAGTCATAGGTGGGTTGATAAACACACCTTACTGGGTCACAGAACACATCTTGGTGTGTACAGAAACACACCGCCCGTGTCAACTGACACACCTTATGTTAACACACCTTTTTCTGGAAGAAAAGGTGTGTTCAGCAAACACACCTTTTTCAGAACACACCATGCAGAGAGCACACCTTGCTTTGACACACCTTGACAGAGACACACCATAGAAGTGAGCACACCATTTTCTAGAGAAAAAGGTGTGTTCAACAAACACACCTTTTCAGAACACACCATGCAGAGAGCACACCTTGCATTGACACAACTTGACAATGACACACCATACAAGTTAACACACCATTTTCTGGAGAAAAATGTGTGTTCAACAAACGTTCGTGAAAAACACAACTTTTCCAGAACACATTATGTAGAATGCTCACCTTTCATGGTCACACCTTGACAAAGACATACCTATCTGCACATATATACCTATAGCATACCACACCATTAGGAAACACACCTTCTTGAGTGAAACAGCTTTACCTTTTTGGTTACCATACAGTGGCAATATTTCATTCACAATTAATCACAAAGTCTTCTACATTTGAACTATCTTTTTCAACTATAAAATTTTCCATTAGATTTAATAATATGCAAAACCCCATGCCAGGGTAAGTTTTGAATTACTACGTACAACAAGCCTTTCATTAGTTTTATGAACTTGGTAGTACATAAAATGTCTGTGGAAAGCAGATGTCTCCAAAACTCGAACAACAAAAAAATTTTCTATCTTCCCAAACAACGATTTCTTCCACCTCACCATAAACTGGATAATCTCTCTCACCAATCTCATCCATTTCCTGCAGTCGCAGAGCACATCCTGGCTTGTAAATTATGCCATGAATCTCCACATGCCTAACATGACTAAAAATTAGATTACAATGCAATAGTTCATTTGATAAACATAAGATAGTATGATTCATCTCATCCCAAATTCAGTTTTTGCCTGATAAATCACAGTGATATTAAGAGATAGTTCAGTTGATAAATAGTAGCTAGATTGAATATTGTAGTAGTTAGTCCTTATTATGTCATATAAATGATATAATTTTTATTCATAATTACATTAAAAAACAACTTGGCAATATTAAACTGATAAATATTACCTGCTTCCTTTACATGGCTGTGCCAGTTGATCAACACTAGCAGCTTGAGCTATCATGCCAAAATATGGATGGCTGTGCAAATCAACATTGTGATCGCCTTAAACAGACATTAGGAAACACATGAAAAAATAGATTTAAATTGGAATAATAGCTGTATATGCATATTTATACATATGTAAAATTACAAATTTTTATAACTATATATGCATTATTTACCTAATCCAACAACATCACCACTATACAGGTAATTAGTCAAGGGCTGCTGGGAGAACTCAGAAGGTTCCAGCACATGTTCCTAAATAAAAAACAATTACACCATGATTAGTATGATAAATACACAATTCTGTAAAAAATGTATAATTGAAATACACAAATCTACACATTTATTCAAAATTAAGCCTAGAGTGATAAAACACAGCTACTTTAGAGGGGTGGAATACAAGTCAATCTAATTGTGCACAATGATTTTAAAAAATATATACCTTTGATGGGAAAATGCAAGTGATTTGGGGACATTTTTAAAGTTCTTGGTAATTGAACTTTTCAGGAAACTGTGTTTAGCCTCAAATCTCATGGTCCAGATATTTCTAGGTGGCCCAAACCTACAACGCAAACATTTAATTATAATCATCAATAATTTAATAGGATGATGTTCTCTAAACTCAAAAATAATTTGGAAGTAACTTTTACATCAATAATTTTTTACCTAACAATTTCATCAGGTATATGTATAAGATAATGCATTTTTGGAATTATGGATGCATTAGGGTAGAGATTTTTGAACATTTTGTGATGATCATTAATCATAACTTTCAAATAGGCAGCATCAGCCTTTGTTATTCCTGGAGAAGTACAAATTTGAGTCTACATTTGGTAGTTTCAAGACAATTAGGCTGCATAAAGCAAGACATATAAATTAGTTAATACTTTCCCAATGACTGCAGTGAAAGAAAGGGTTTTAAAAGTATATGTACCTGATTGTTTAAGCTTAGCTTCAGTGACACCATTGATTGTTTCCCTGTAATTGCAGTTGGCTTATTCTTTTTGTTCATGTATCCATAATCAAAGTTTTCATCCTCCGATTTAACTCTTTGAGTGTGATACATCTGCTTTCATCAATCAGATACTTCAGCATCAACTTTGTTTCATAGGGTACCAAGCCTTCCAAAATATATGCATTATATCTTCAGGATGCAAATGCAAACATCAAAATGTTGCACCTTATCCAACACACTTAATCTGTTTACCCCATAGGTTGTGGAAAGTTGTTCACGGATGTTTAATGCATTATCTTCATCTTCAATACATGCACATATTTGTCTGTGATTATCCAAATCTCTTTCTGAAAAGTCTTCAGATAAAAACTAAAACAGAAAGGCAATCCAAATGCACATTGTGTAAATTGTAAAAATGCCCTTATTGCTCAGCAAAATATCTCCCAAATTACAGTAGGGAAAAAAGCTATTTCTTCAAATTATAGCATATTTACCTTATTGTTGGTCTCCAGTCTTGTTCCCATACAATGCCTACAAATTCGCAATGCTCCTCCAACACCTTCCTTGAAACCACTGACATAGTTGCTACCAAGTGTATCTCCAGTCCACAATAACAGATCACCTCAAACACACGGGCAACACCATTTATGGTAAAACAGTGACCATTAGCCTAAAATATAGGAAGCTATAATGTTGGACAAATTTGCATACTAGAGGAATTTTGTCTTTTTTTTTTCTTATATACATACAATACTGTAATGCATAAAGTAAAAATACCTTCGCCAAACAATTGACATCCTCAATGAATGGCATCAAAAGATTATCGATCCCAAATGACTTGATGTCTTTTGTTTTAGCAATAGCTATAAGTTGTATACTGCGGATGCTTGATCTAAACATTGGCCTTATATTGCCCAGCACAAAGTAAAAGACACCTAAAAACAAATTTTATATGTGATTGGGCAGCTAACATGCTTATGAAATAAGCTGTTCATAGATTCATAGACATAATATAAAGACACACACCAATTTTATGAATCTTTGCTTTTGAACCTAAAGGATTGGCTATTTCTAGATCATCATAATAGCCCAACAGCTGCAGGGCATCACTGTGGAGGGAGAATACTGGATGACTCTTGAAAAAATCCCCATCCATTACATCTCGAAGAACACCATCACATGAAAAATGTGGATTTTCAACTTCCTTTAAAACATCTGGGTTTTGAAGAAGTGCCTAAAATATATGATCAAAAAAATGTTTGAAAAAAATATTTGCAACAAATGGATGCATCCAGTGATTTGAATCTTGAAAAGCCAAAGTAATGGCATTTAGCACCAGAATAGTGACATCAATTTTTGCTAGTCTTTCATATAAAATATATTTTTACCTCCAAAGTCTTTAATAATGGAACTTGATAACCAAAAACTGTGACACGTTTAAGTATTTTTCTCCCTTGTCGAAAATCACTTCTCCACTGTTTTCCCATCTCAACTTCTATTGGTTCCTGCAAATCAGTTAAAAAAATATAAAGCAAGCTGACAAAGCTGGCAGCTGGTTCAGGTTTGGTAGGTTGGTAATTACCACCAAATTGAAATGACGCTTAAAATATGATCTTTGTTGGTATTCTGAATCAACTCCGTCGAAGACACTCTCTGCTGAAAATAACTTTTCCACATCTTGGTCAAATTGCAATTCTTGACCAGGATTACTGTTTATCTTTTCGACAAGCGATTTTTTGACTATGTCCAAATACTCAGTTAGTAGATTTTTCGCTGAATCTTTGACCAAGTCCACGGCACTCTGGGTGAGCATACCTCTTGTTTTGGAACATAAAAGGAATTTGGCAGCATGGCGTTGCATTAGACTTCGTGCTTCTCCCTCGTCAAACATCTCCTGAAAATGGTTCTCATTTTCCCCATCATTTAAGTCTTCTTCCACTGTTAAAGCCTCATGCTGTCTGTAATAATGTTTTTGGAGACTGTTTATCTTTGTAAACGACCGTGGACAGCTGTTACAAAATATCTTGAAATTCGGCTCGTTTGAGTGTATTTAACCAAGTGATAAAAAAAAGCTTACTTTGTCCGCTGCAACATACAAAATTACAGTAATCGCAGCGAAATTCAGTTGATCGGCCATTTGTATATACTAAAAACACATTATTTCGCCTTGTGCCTTACTGCCTTTTAATACTTAGTTTATTTCCCAGTATGTTTTCAATCGATATTGCCGAAAAATTGGAGCATTTGCAAAAGGCCTGGGAGCCATTCTATTCTCTCACGGTAATGTTACCACTGGGAATACCATATATGTATTTAAAGTAACACGTGACCGTAAGTCTGCCAATAGGAATTCCCTATGGTGTGATGCGGGAAATTTAGACCTGCTTGTAAAAATTTGACTGATATCTTGCCCGTTCGACGTTCCAAGAAGATTACTCACAACATTTACTCCGTTTTTTAAATATAATTTCATCACAAGTATGGCTGTGTGTTTAGTAGCAATGTTCACTGAAGACCTTATTGCTCACTTGTTATCAAAAGGCATCTCAAGAGAAATTTGCGATCAACTGAAAGGTATGCCTCATGTGGTTGAACCATTGCCAAAATGCTAAAGCGTTTAAGTTTTTATGTGTGCGTTAAGCTTTCTTTTTATTATACAGTTTAATGAATACGATCTACTAACAGTTTATGATTATAATGTTTCAGAAAATGCTATTGATGGGGGTACATTGAACTTTTTGATGCAAGACATCGACGAATTCAAAGCGGTCTTACCTAAATCTGGCTATCGAATTCAACTAAAACAAAAATTGGCCTTTACTTTATCTGCGACAACAGAAAACGTAAGTTTACTTTGTTTAAACAGGATATAAATATAAACTTTGATTTAACAAGAATATTAATTTGTCGTTAATTCCTTTAGTTTGCCTAACAGGCTTTTATATAACAGTACTAATTGAAAATTATAAGCCGAGAGAAGGCACTGTCACATTGGGCAATTGAAATAATCAATTGTATTCCCATCACTAATAATGACTACTTCTCAATATTTTACATGAAAGTATTTACTATTTGTCAATAATAGGAAAAAATGCCTCAGCAAATTGTGATGCCACATGATGATGAACCACACACATCAGAGCTAGAACCACCAATGCCAACTGAACCACCTTTGCCAGTGGAACCACCTTTGCCAGTGGAACCACCTTTGCCAACCATGGCATGTGAAAGCAGTGTTGAAAGTGTGAAAGCAGGTGTTCAAATGAAGAAACCACTCAAGAGTCCCAAACCTATTACTAATAGTTCAGATGCCACAGCCCTACCAAACACTCTCCCATTTCCTGAGAGTTTCTCTGTGCGAGTGCAGATGGCAATAAAAATGGCTCTGTTGCCCCTGAGCGAACACAGCTGATTGCAGATGTAGGGACCTTTTATTATGGTTTGTCCAGCCACCCAAAGCAAGGTGACTACAAGAGGATTGCCATTTTAGTGTGCGAGAAATTCCCTGAGTTGAGAGATTCAATCAAGCAAGCTATTGGGTAAGTGTCACAAGAGGGAATATTCTGTATATGTACTTAAAATATACTTGTCATGGCAATGATCCTAATCCCAAATATCATATTTTGTCTACATATATAGGTATCAATCCAGAAACAATTGTCGCAATTCTTCAGAAACCTTCGGCGGCGGACAGTTAACAAAGCGATGCATGGACAACCCCATGGCATGCAAATGAAAGTGCATCAAAGAAAATAAAACTGACTGCAGAGGATGATGAGCAAGCTCAAAAAAGAAATATGGAGCTTTTGAAAAAAGCAAAACCTGGTGCAATGGCTCCTAAACATTTGCAAAACTCTTTGTCGACACATTTAATGAGCGGAGGAAATTTATCGAAAATCAAGCTACATCTTCTACAGAGGTCTTGGAGGAATGTCCATATCTTGGTCATCCAAATGTTGTAAGTATCTTCACATGATGTCTTGTGCAGTCATATACACATGTAGTTTTTAGGGTATAATATTAAAACAATGGGTAACCCTATTGAAGCAATGGCAACTTGTTTCAAACACCTGCAAAATGTCTTTGATTATCTTAATTAGGTAAGAAAAGAAGTTAGCAGAATCATTGGGCAGAAAAATTGGGAAAAAGAGGCTGAAAAGAAGTTGGAGACTGCATTGAAAGCTGTCATACAAATTAAGGATAAGGAATGTGAAATGAGAAGTGAACAGGTTGTGGAGGCTGTGGAGTAAATTGAGAGAAAGACAAAAAGGAACAAAGGAACAACAACAAGTGTTCTAAAATTCAAAGATGTATGTATTTGTCAATTGCACCTTGCACACTCTGGTAGATAGCTGTGGCAAATCAATGATCTTAATCTTTAGGTTTACTCCTCAATGCTGGAATTGTAATTAACTGTTTTAATTTTATTTTACAGCCTGCATCCACCATGAGACCAGAAACCTTGTTCAAAGACAAGAATGTCGAGTTTCGCTTGGTTGTGATTGGGTCTCCTGAGGAGGTCAACCAAGTTTTTGTGGCAGGTGAAGACCAGTCATTTATTGAGAGTGAAGGTATACTCCAAGGTTTGATCGACCTGCTTTGTTGTTACTATGCATATCACGTCTCCTACCCTGAAAGTATGGAAGGATGCTTGCTTTTCCTACAAGACATTCTTTTGCCAACAAATGATGGCAACTACAGAGGAACAAAATTTTCCTCATTTATGGCAAAGGTGCACCAAGGAATTAAGGACAATTCTGATTAGAACAATTTATACATGCCTGGACATTCATGCTTATATTATATGCATGCCATATATTTAAGGCAAATTATTATTAAGGCAAATTTTCCATATGACTTTTAAATATTTGTTGTGAATATATGTAAGTGTTTTCTTGTATGATAATGTTTTCTATTTTTAATACATATTTCACTGTTTATGGACAAACTGTTCTGACTATTCATTCTATTTAGATAATTGCCCTAGGCAATTTGATCTTGTGTGTTGGGTAGCACACCTTAGTGTGTTCCAAAACACACCTTGCACCACCTAGCAGTATGTGTCTTGGAACACACCAAAGTTGTGTAGGAAAACACACCAAAGTTGTGTAGGAAAACACACAACAGTGTGTTTCAAAACACACCTTAGTGTGTACTAAAGCACACCTTTTGCAAAACACACCTTATAGTGTGTCAAATTCTGGACAAGCAAGAAACACACCTTAAGGTGTGTTTTGGGACACACCTGCGTGTGTAAGAAAACACACCTTAACCTGTGTTATATTCTGGACAAAAAAGGTGTGTTATTTGAACACACCTTTTTTTTGAGTGTGAATACGTACAATCCAGAAAGTCAGTTTATACAAGACCTTCGAAGAAAGGTGAGTGTACTGTCTGACGCTTTTGAAATACTATCTTTATTTGTGTTTAGAATCTTAACAATCACGACTGCCGTAGAACATTCTAAATCTACTGAATTAATTGAAACGTATAGATTGTGATGTAACCCAACCACTGTCAGTTGTTAGACCATATATAGAATGCATATCTCTTGCTGTTCTGATCCACCTAAAATAGCGTGATATAACTATGACGCCTGTCTATGGAGTTATATTTCATTCAAACCCGTTCACAATTTGTAAGTTACGACCTTTTCCAAAACAGTAAATTGATTGCGGCTGGAAAACCTTTCATCAACATTTCTCATCAACACATAACAAACCCTAAATTCACTTCATAAAATTCTGAATGATTTTGTCAGGATTTAAATTTTAAACGTTTTCCTTTTTTTTCAGAAGTCCCTGGTATGAAGGGAGTAGTATCGTCATCTAAAGGATTACACACCAAACTACGTCAAGCTGCTCAACGGAAAAATGGAGTAACAAAAGAACGCAAACAGTTGATTAAAATGGGAAATAAGCTGAGAGCTGAATTGTTGAAATATAAAGGTATTTGAAGGGATATTTTGGAATATCTATTAAGATGGCATTAATATATATACGTTAGTCGAAATAAATTACTGTAAGAATGAATTGAATACATTTTTCCTATAATCATGATGCGTAGCTTCTGTTGTTCGCAAAAGACTAACTGCATGTGCAAAGAGATTCCGCGATGATTACGTCACTACCGCATGTAGGGTAGTGACACGTGACCGGGCTCCAGAACACCGCGGAATAAGGTCTGGGCAAACGCCGGTCGGTTATAAGCATATGGCGAAAAACTTCAATTGGAACTGTTGAAAGAAAACATGCAAGTTAATTGATAAGATATAAGTTAAACTTGTACTTGAAAATGTACCGAAAACGGGTGGACTAAACATTCGTTTAATGCGTCCTTTGATTGAAATATGAAATAAAATTGTTTTGCAGAGCGTCTTTAAACCATTTTTGATAAATTGTTAAGAACAAAAGTTTAAACCTATATAATAGAAGTTGAGAAAAACTACAATTATTGAGAACACGAAAATTTCTTGTTTCTCCGCAGCGTGGCGGCTTTGGTATAATGAGAGATGCTGAAATAAGTAATCTCGTGGTAAAATCGATTAGTGTACCGCTGCCACCGTTTTGATTTTAGAATGTTATTCTATCGTTATATATTAGGAGGGAAAAAATC